ATACTCTATAAAATACAAAATCAGTATTAAAAACGGCTTTCCATCGGACCTCCAGTGTTCGTATACTCTCGTAGTCGGCGTAATGTCTGTCGTATTCGCTACAGAATGTCATAAACTTCATAAGCATTCTCTTGTCGATCACCGACACGTCCTTATTGTTGAAGATATCGCCGCGACTGACCGGCACCTCCACTATCTGGCCGTCAATGGTGGTCAGTATGCGTGTAATCGCCTTAAACTCGGCATATCTCGAGATATTGGACGACACCAGGAGGTCTACCATTGAGCCGCGACTGTAGAGCAGCTGATAATCGTATGGCAAGAATGTGGGATCAATTAAAGTGACAAAATTCAGACATAATAATCAAAAACTTATTACTCGTGGCGTTAGATCCAAATTGAATCGCCGGCTCTCGAGGTTGAACCTCAAGAGCGACCAACTCTGAGGCCTATCGTCATCGGAGGTCGTCTCCATCGGCGCCTCATTATCACCGTCTGGTTGGGCGGCGGCGGCCGCGACCTCACCCACCGCTACGTCGAGCGCCACCTCTGCCACCACTGGCCCGACATCGACCTCTTCGGGAGCGACAGGAGCTGTTGGGGTGACGTCCGGCGCGTCCTCATCGCATAAATAGGATATTTGGCACACGTTTGACACGACATCACCTCTTCGGCAGTTGCGGTACAGCTCCCGATCCCTGAGCAGTCGTAGGTCCGGGTGTGTGGACGCGGGTAGGGGTTGATGGCGAGCGCTGGCACCCGATTCGCCGTCGATGGCGGCACCGGTATGTGTGGTGTGACACCAGTTGACGGCGTGCGTGAAGTTCATGGACTGCCACTCCTGTGAGTAGAAGTGGTTTTGGTCGCAATGAAACACACTTTTGCCGACTCTGGCCAACGCCGCCCCCACCACCGACTGCGTCAGTCCAGTGCCGGTGATAATGCAGTCGTAGTGGCTCTTCAAGTCGTCCTCCATGTCCACCGAGGGCTGAGTATAAGTGGTTAAGACATCCAAGAGCTGATCCACGGCTTTGACGGACAATACGTACTGTTGTGTTTGTTTATCACTGAAAGGGATGGTATTGTCATAACATCTGTGGTATTGGTTTGCATTGAGTGTTGAAATTATTATTTTGTGAGTAAATGTGTTAACTGTAGCCGTAATACGTGTGCAGTTAATGGGTTTTATGAATGAGTGAAGTTTAACAGCAAGTGGGCGATTGCATTGACGCATACGTTACTCGATTAACAAACGATCCCTCAGTTTGTGTTGTCATAAGTGTCTGTAAAATAGCGATTGAATTGTCACTTGAATTGTGGTCTCAATTGAGCGATGAATTGATCCACACATTGACCACAACCTCACAGACACGCGAAGAGTCATCTCAACACATTTGACACCTTCTGGAGCTATCGGTGGCCATGGGTTTCGGTATATTCCTCTTGTTTACGCTAATCTTCGGCGGCATAGGAGGTGTGGCGCCTATATTCCTGCCGGAGTCACCGCACAGTTGATGGCCGGATCAGTTTGCTGTTACGCCATGTGGTTGACCACATACTTGGCTCAACTCAACCCACTGTTTGGTCCGCAGATCAGTAACCAGACAATGGCTCTCATGTGGAAAGTGTGGTCATAGAGAGGGTTGCCGTTGATTATCACCACCTATTCCCCGATCAGTTCAATACTCATTATACCATTCATTAGTCTTAATGCCGAGGAATGTCTGCAATTTGGACACGAATTGGCGTTTTTTTGTGATGATTTTTTGATAGTTTACTAATTTATTGATTTTATTTTTAATGTCTTTGTGTGGACTCAATGTTTCGGAGTTTATGTATTAATGAATGAATTGTTTTATTATTATTGCAATTAATTGTATTATTTTTGTTATGATTTAAATGGTTATCGAAATTAAAAGTGATTTTTTCGGTCAAACGCTTCAGACATCACTCAGGGATGTGTGGCTTCAGAAAGTGATGACCGCATCAGAAGCCGAGCCTAAGCTTCCAACCGGACCTCAACTGCAACTTCCGGTCTTCGAGCAGATCCGGTGTATTCTCTTGCATTAGCCGCCAATCATCGCACAGCACNAGCCTAAGCTTCCAACCGGACCTCAACTGCAACTTCCGGTCTTCGAGCAGATCCGGTGTATTCTCTTGCATTAGCCGCCAATCATCGCACAGCACGAGTCGGACCACCTCTCCGTTGGCCTGTTTGGTGAACAGCTCCAGATTGATGTCCTTTTCTCGGGCACCGATAGGCACCACAATCCTGCCGCCGGCCCTCAACTGGTCCACCAGCTTCTGCGGCACACGTCTTGTCAGCGGCTCAATGAATATGAGATCATAGGGTCCCTCAGATGAGTGTCCAAACCTGCCGTCCCCTAAGTATATCTTTATAACGCCCGACCCTTTCAGCTGCGGGTAGTGTTTGTCAATGGTTTCGATGGACTGCTGGACCAACTGTGGGATGTGTTCCACACCAATCACTCGACCATTGGATCCGACCATAGATGCGATACAAGCTGTCAGATATCCAGTTCCCGACCCGATATCCAGCACTTTACAACTGGGGGTCAGGTGCGGCTCGAGGAACTGGAGTAGAGCTGCCTCATAGGTAGCCGGACCCGTATGGGCGCCGTAGCCAACGGACCGGATGTGGTGTAAGGCATAGCTGACCGCCGAGGGAGCAAACAGACCCCTGTCTATGGACAGCATAGCTGTGATCACTCGACGGTTAGACAATTGGTGTCTATTGATGAGAGCGTCGACCA